CACAAATAAATAGGTAACTGCGACTAGTGATATTAGAATGCAATTGACAGGTTCTCTTTATCATCTCATTTATGCCAAGCGCCTACACATTAAAATGAAACCGCCTGCGTTCACGAAAAAAAAATATCCCGGACGTCCTCCGCTTGAACTTTAATGTCGCGGTGAACATTCAAAACCTCTATACTTCGTTTCAGCTTAAATGCAGGTGGAGCCAATGCTACAAGCACGAGTTCAGGGCTTTCAGCGTCCCTGCCAAGCACGCGCGCTTGTGCAGTGCAAGCACTGTTCAGGCCACATGGTCGCGCCTTTAGCCTCGGCTGCGTCTGGAACAACGGTCTGGAATTAAGCTGAAAGAAAGCATAGACCGAGCAGTCGCTCACTCGAAGTGGACGCTCTCAGGCATGTTTTCAACCGTCGTAGTGAAGAGAACGAGCGCTCAGCTTCCGCCGCAACTAGAATCTAGAGGAGACGATGGACGTTCTGAAATAGTGCCTCCGAACAGAGGGCGACCACCTGTATACCGCAGATGTGACGGGCGCTTCACGTTTCTCCCTCTTGCATTGGACGCCTAAAATTATTTTTGGCCAAGTTTCCCTCACTTTGCGAAAATCGTCGCTCACGGATGCGATGAAGTCCGTCCTGCTTTCTGCTTTGTATGTCAAGGTGGCATGCGATGCAATTCCTTATTACTATTAGGTTAATCTCTTCGCTGCAAGGAACATCAGAAACTTGAAGAGACATGCCTTCATATTCTCACTACGCAAAGGCGGAAGGCTAGTCAAGTTCCTTTCCACGTTCGGCGCAAGTTTCTTTGTGGTGCGTCATGTCATTTCTCCGAGTGACGGAAGGACGAGTTCGGACTGATGACTTCTTCTTACCCCGAGGATATGCTGCTGCTGCCTTTGGACCACGCTGCAAAATAAAACGGCCTAGCAAAGGTAAGACTCTCTTTCCTTCGGCATGTGGTTCTGTAACACGAATTTGTTAAACCTTTAATAGATCATAGATTTTGGTTTTGTGATTGTTCAGAATTACCTTCGCCCTAAATATGGGCCCCTAAAGTGTTTGTGCGTGGTCGGTTGTTCCAACTTTTCAATGTCGACTTTTTTTTTTGCTGTTGAATCTTTTTTTTATTTTTTGGGGGGAAAATATAGCTATTTTTGTGTTTTCTGTGGCCTTCACGCGTTGGTATTGCGGTGCTACTTGAAAAAGCGAAGGGAGTTTTGTGTTGTGAGAAAGCGTTTAAAGTTGGTGGGCCGCAATTACGACGAGAGTAGAACAGTGAGCCACCCCGCCCGTATTCATGTAAATGAAGCCTGCTCCGTTTTTAAAAATGACAATGCAGCGTTACCTGTTTTATCTTGACAGCGTCTCCCTAATCTTTGCCTGAGCGTCCGTGTCGGCGAGCTCACCCTCCCTCATTGACGGGGGGGGGGGGGGGGGGGAGGAGGTGCCGTTGAACCTTGAACCCCTCCCGAAATAAAATCCTGGCTACGCCACTGGCTGTGTTGGTGACGTATACTGTCGTGTTGAGGTGGCAAGGATTCGTCAGTAATCGCGGCGATTTGGGCGGCGTTTTGGAGTTCCTCGATGTGACCCACGGCGGTGCCTTTCGTCAGGTGCTGAGCCTCCTGTCGGAAGTTCGTTACGAATGCAACAGTGCGTCCGTGGTGAAGCTCCGCGATGCCTCTTGCGACGCCGATCCCCTTTCCTAGAAGCAGTTGGACGCAAACTTCCAGCAAAGCTTCTCCGCAGAAGCCTTTTTCGGTCGCGACAGGCACAAGTACACTGCAGCATGGTGGCAAGTTCACTTGGTCGGAGAGTACACGCACTGCAGCTGACGTGGTTGCCGTAGCTTTGCGACCCTCGGGCATAACGTCAGGTTTCCGCAGCCTCAATTCGTTGGCTTCCAGGTCGATGACGGCGCCGTATTCGCACAAGAAATCCACTCCAAGTATAACGTCTCTCGCACAGTCTCGTATCATGACGAATTTTACCGGATACGTCTCGTGGTGAATCTGGACGCGAGCAGTTCATCTTTTGACTGGCGTGATGAGATGTCTTCCGGCGGTTCGTAATTGGGGTTCATCCCACGGCATCATGAATTTTCGAAGGCGGCGGGACAGCCTCCCTACTCAAGAATGAGTAGTCTTCTGCGGTGTCCACGAGTGCCGATGCGTCAAGGCCGTCGATGACAACGTTCAGGCTGTTGGACACCGATGCAGGGTCGTCGTTGTGATGCGTAGTGTCGGGAGAGTGGGAGTGCTCCGTCGTTCTTTGAGGCTCTTTACGTCGATCGTCTTCGGCAATTCTACCTCCAAGGGTTGCCGCGCCTAGTTTCCCCGGCGAGGAGCGAGGGTCGACAGGCTTTCACGTCGGGGTCGGTGCATCGGCGAAGCTGGACGTCATGGCGACGGCGCCGGAACTCTCGGCGGGACGCAGGCTCGGGGGACTGGGGTCGTCGCAGGTACTCGTTGATCTCAGTAGGGCGTTCACCATGACGGGGGCGCGGGTCGTTCGGTTGGAACCCGCGTAGCCCGAGTCGTCGGTATGGGCACCGGCGGAAGGTGTAGTCTGCTCCCCCCAATGGAAACACAGAGGATGTCGGTCGGGCGTTCGCAACACGTCGGTCTTGCGGGGTGCGCGAGGAGCCGGGCAGGCGTACTGGACCTGGTCGTCGTGGCGTCGCTCGTGCTGCGGCGCAGGAGACTGACGTCGGGTCGGCGCGACATAGGTGCGAGGAGGAGGAGGTGGCCGTCGGGCCACTGCGGCGTAACTCAGCATCGGTGGTTCCGGAGCGGTGCTGACGAAAACCTCAGGCAGCAGCGCTTGCTGGACTTCTTCCCTGATAATCTCGGTGATTGAGGGCGAAGCTGGGCTTGCGGCGGCAGGTGGAAACTTCTTGATCTCCTCCCAGACGACGTCCCGGATTATCTTGCGGATATCCGTGGTGTTGCAGCCGGAAGACGAAAAGACAGCGACGCCGGGAACTCAATGATAGTGGGCGGCTCGAGCTTGAAAGGCACGTTCGATGATGATGGCCTCCGTCATGAAGCTTTCGACGGTGGTATGTGGGCTCCGCATAAGACCACCGGAAGTGATTTCCTTGACGCCGCGCATGAAGACATTGAGCTTCTTTGCTTCGGATGCTTGAGGATCGGCACGATTGCTGTTTCGCAGGACATCTTCCACGAAGCTAATGACCCTCTCGTTAGGGCCTTGGATCCTCGCTTGAAGAAGCTCTTCCGCGCGTTTTCTTTGTTGTTGGTTCGTGAATGCTCTTCGCAACTCAGCCTTGATTTGCTCCCACGAGGTGCTCGATGCTTCGTGGTTCTCGAACCAGTTCCGGGTGGTTGCTTCCAAGGTAAAGTAAGCATTCTGTAGACACTGCTCCTGTGTCCACCCGTTGTGACGGGCCACTCGTTCGTACTTTTGGACCCAGTCGTCGATGTCTTCGTGGCTTTCGCCGGGGAAGGGAGCCGGTTTCTGAGGAGCGACGGGTAGCTAGACGACGCCAGGAGCGGCGGGGGTCTGCGACTTGTTGGCCATCGTCGTCTTCTTCGGCTTGGGCTTGTCCAGCAGCAAACCGTACTCAAGATCCTCTCCCTTGGTGCGGCGGGTGGTCCGAGTTTTAGGTTCCGCGTTGAGTGGTCTTCTCACCGAGCCGGGAATCGGACTTGCACTGCGGGCCCTTGGAGGGGAACGCTGCATGGCATGTTTTACCCCTCACCTCCACCAGAATGTCACGAATAACAAGTGACGAGGCGACGAAAAGTGAAGTAACCTAAAGGTTTAATGGGGCGAACTTGGGCCCAAAACAAAAATAAAAAGGAAACAGAAAATAACAATAGAGCGTCGCGGGCGTCGATAGCGGCGTAACAGCAGGATCGAGCGCTTGGGCGAGACTGACTCCGGCTTGCCACGCGGAGCCCCTTTTCTACACGCGTGGGCTTCTGGAACAATTGGCGTTCAAGGTTCGGCGTGTAGACAATTCTAACCTCGAATCAGCCATCACAATTCTCGAATTTACCAGAACATTACGCTAGAGTCAACAAAAATACGTCACCGCGGCCAGGAATCGAACCCTGGTTTTCTGCGTGGAAGGCACGCGCGATAACTCTTATGCCACGAGCGCGCTGCCTGCTTGGTCAGCTGCGCCCACGGCAATACAATCAAGCACATCAGATTGATCGCTACTAGCGATATTTCGTTCAAAAATATGAGCCAGATATTTTTATGCTTCCCTTAATTATCAATAAGATCGCCTGAAAAACGAAGAATACTTAGATTGCCAAGTGTCTAGTTATTCGTATTTCTCCGCGCGTACGCCGCACAGTCATTGCAAAAAACTCACTCAATGTAACCAAAGTTTACAAATAAAAGTGCCTGTTTCCCGACATTATAAACCACAAACACATATGGCCGCCTGAAAAATGAGCGCAGCTGACAATTAGAAAAATTTTTTTCCACCAGACCAAAAACACCACTTTATGTTACAAGTGCGAGCGAAACAGATAATAAGTATTCATTTTATTTAATCGGCAAGACGGTACAGTACAGTACGCTGTCTCTTCAGCGGTCGAAGCTCTATTGCCGTCAGCAGTCCGCAGTGAAGGGACTTCGGTGACGCGGCATGTAATAAATTTGTAAGACTCTGCGCCGAGGCAAACAAGTATAGGTTTAATTGAATTACCACGGGGTAAAAGTCATAAATAAATAAATATAGAAAATACTTGAAATTGACCATAGTGTTTTTCTTCTGCACAATCGGCTGATCAGTGAATGTACTCGAGCGCGGATTTCGCAATAGCTGAAGAACTGAACACGAGGCAATACAAAGTCCTTTCCTTCGACGTAAATTTAGTGTTATTTATTACGGCAGTCGACACATCGTCATTTCGTGCGCACAAACTTCTGCCCATTTAAGGCTCCGTAGTTCTCTTGAAAGGTCGACCAAAGAGTTGGAGCGAAACAATAGTCAGTCGTCTACGGGGTTTCGACAGATCTTACTCAAGATGAATGCCTGGGTTATGCTCATGGCTCTGGGAGGCATTTTCGTCGGTAAGTCAAAAGCTTGTATTCGAAAAATGTTTCAACGCGCGCATTATATCTTGTCTACTTCTAACTGCTATATGCAATTCTTACATCGTTCGAGCGATTCAACATGTACGCCGCAACATTACTTTATACAAAATCAATTTATTGTACACCGAGCATCGATCATTCTACGTGAATCTCTAACAAAATAACTTTCATATAAGTTTGTCAATGGTTTTATAAACAACAATACTGTTTTAAATAAACAAAAAGTGAAGCAAATTAGCTCACTAATTTGTTAAACTTTCACTAGAAGCCGCCATTCGCTGTACGGAATTTTGGCGCTGCTGGTGCTATTGAAAAGTACTTTTTGCATAAGCTAAATAAAATAAGACAATATAACTTTAGGATTGGGTTAGACGAAAAATACTGCGAGTTGATTTATGTGCGGATTCAAAGACGTCGACATAAGCGTCAAAAGGCTTCGGCCCGATGAAGCGCACCGCAATGTAGGTTTGGTTATTCAAAATGAATCCGAAATTATGGAACCCAAAACGGCAAATTTTGTTCCAGCAAGACATAAAAAACATTAACAAACAAAATTAATGGGCAAGAAGAAAAGGAATCAGACTATTTGAAAACACATCAAGGTACTCTAGACGGTTCTGTGAGGCTGTCTTTAAACAACACCACCTTACCTTTGCATCATATCGTATTTATTTGAAAAGGAAAAAGTAAAGATTCTTAACACGAGGTTCGTCTATTCGTGGTTTTTCTGATGCTTATAAAATAAGACGAGAAATATGGTAAGTTTAGACAACATTCACTTTGTATTGAAATTTGGATCGAAAAGAGTATATCTTCTGTATGTAAAACAGCACTAGAGAGAGTATATGAGTCTATTGTTCAAACACATCGGCTGGCTCACATGCATCTGAAAGACTGTTAGTGGACATAGTTGCTGCCGAACGTGCGATATGTATGGAAAAGACAGTGATTATTCTTCAACACATAGCGGCGTAGCGGGTCTGGGTCAGATGATGGTCGGGCCGCCCGGCTTTTAAGCAAATTTCTGGGGCTAAGAGGAGACTCTATGATGACCTCTACCTCTGATGTGTCACGTCTACCCCTAGACGGGTCGGCGCCGTGACAACAGAAGTCCCGTCGACCCGGCTATGTCCATCTGGTTCAGGCTTGGCCGGTCACTGCTGCGAACACATCTGTGTGCCTCCTCCCCCGCCCCCCCCCCCCCATCCCCCCCATCACGCCGTTCTCTTTCCGCGCTTCTGTGTTTGTACTTTTCTGCCCTTCTCTTCAAATCAGAGGTCGTTATTGATACTCCGCTAAAAGGTCCCTTTTTCGGGTCTGCACAGGGCAGCGCCCTAAATGGGAAGGGGTTCCAAAATAACGGCATGTTGCTTTAATGATTCTATGAGTCGCAACAAAAATGTTTCGTATATTAGGAGGGGCGCCAAAATTTATACACACATTTAAATACGTACAACGTTCAAAACTGTTACGTTTTAAGAAAATATTTGATAGGATAGTGCAGGCACGATCGGTGGAATTTTACACGATTTTATGCTATATAACATTTGCGTACCTTATAATACCAAGAATAATTGTCGTCATTATTACTTCCGCTACGAAATCTAAATATTAGATTAAGAAAACAATCTACGAAAAGCTCGATCTTGTAACTTGTAGCTCTACAGGATTGCAGGACCGGATTAAGGGACTTCGAAACCCTGGGCTGAGGGCTCTTCTGAGGCTGTCATAATGATAATTATGACGACAACAACGGTGATGACGATATGACTGGTTAACACAGTACATTCTCGAAAGCCTAAGTTATTTTTTTTTTTTTTAGATTTCTACTTTCTGGAGCGATATCATTGCTCAAAATGAGGAGGAGCGTCATGTTATGCGATCACTCTATGCAAATTACCATTACTAGAAGAACGGAACGCAGCAATTTCATGACTACCACGACTAGCTTTCCAAAATGCGCTCAGGGCTACAAGTGCCGAACTGACTCTGCAAATGTAGTCAGTGTGCTCAACAGTAGTTGGTTCTCCGTGGTTAATGGCGGTGGGTCGGTAGGTGGCCCGTGGCAGACTCTCACGTGAACTAATGAGCGGGAAGGATAGAGCACAATGACAAGCAGCCTTACTAGTCTCGTTGGCATGATCGATTGATTGCACTCGGTAGTCACTGTCTAGACTTACTGATGATTCAGGTAGTAGAGTCTTCATTGAATGCCTGAAAACAACTGGTGACACCTTAATAAATTATGGTAGCTCTTTTTTTACAGTATTCTTTTATTAACTCTGATTTCAAACAAGACCCGCCTAGTAAGACGATTGTGATCTGACATTTGAATTGCGAATCAAAAAGAACTACGTAACCGGAAGAACGAGGCCTCGTCATGTTATCAGTTTTCCTGACTTAAATAAAAAAAATACTAAAAAAGGACTGGTGCAGAAGAATAAAGATATCCGGTTGGCTACCATTTACTTTCACTCTTAGGTTTGGTAAACTCCGACACTCAGAGGCAGAAACACGAAGCACAGTAACTAAAAACATCGTTCATTTGCTGTCTTTAGACCAGTCTCCTCATTTTTTTATAAATTAAACAAAATGCTTTTTTGTGAAACTTTTCTTTTTCTGGAAGGCCGGAGGCATTTCTTCTAGTTTGTAAAAGGTGGAAACATTTTGAACGAATTGTTATTGAAAAAAAAATTCTCCACGTTACTCAAAGGTCTTGGCGTTGCTAAAAGCTTCGATATGGAGACAATGAACACATCGAAAAGTAAAACCATGTGTGCGGCTTTTGGCTTAAACACAGACTTGACTAAAGGTCCACTATTGTTCCTAAGACGAACGTAAAAAGCGCCCATAAAAAAGAAGAAATCATGTTTAGCTTTTTCTTTTGGCTCCAATTAGTAAAAACGTTACTTTGACCACGGCGGAAGCGACAGTTCTGTCCTTTTCGCCAGGGAGCATCGCAGGCCGCACGTCAAAAACACGTGTTTGCTTCGTACACACTATACTTCGTTACACCTTAGCATGACCTATTGTTAGCCGCGCATGTTTAAAGCGCGAGCTGATTGCTTTGGGTGAAACCTCGGCGGTTGCACAAGCTCTCGTGCAGTGAGTGCTCCAGCATAGCCTCCTCTATGCTGAGAGAGCCAGGCAGATCGCCACGAGAAGCGGTCGTCGAAATTGAAAAGGTGGAGCGGCAGAGAATGGATGAGAGGAGAGCCACGTGACGGGCGCCCCGGTGCGGCGAGACACCGAAACACACTTCTCCCGAGCGATGGAATGTACAGCAGTGCTCCTCGCGTTCCTCGCGCTACCACTCCTTTTCTCGTCGGGTTTGAAAACCATCTTTCGGGTCCTCGCCGCTGCAAAAGCTGTGCGCTGACGTCCAGGTTCAACGAGAAATGCTCTGTCGTACCAGATCATGGCGCTCCAAATCTGAGATCGGGCATTTTATAGCCCTGTCGTGGAACTGCCAGGCTTCGTGAGCATAGAGGAGGCTATTGCTATAGGCAAGGCGGTCAAGGTTAGCCGCTCGTACTTGCACAGTTTTTTTATTTAGTCAGTCCTAAGGTGAGACAAAGTATATAACATTATCAAGAGTTAGAGCACGGCAGAGTGAAAAGGCATTTACGTTATATCCCTTTTGTTTCTATAATAATAGGATGGAAGGTTCCAGAAGGCTGAGGTCCCCTCGGCGTCTTTTTTAGCTCATACCCAGTTAGAAAAAGAAGGCCGAGATGTAGCGTGATGAGCCGGTCGCACGTCAAGTTAATCGGGTCTTCCTGTACACCAAATCAACAACCAAACAAGTTTGACAATCAGAATGTTGTTTGGTTTTGCTTGTAGCGCTATTAAGTTTGTCACGCTTCTCTTATTGAAGGGTGTGAAAAACGTCTGAAAATATATTTTTTTCTGTATTATGAAAAATATGTTTCTCTTTAATTTCTCTTTCCAAAATATATTTTTTGTGACCTACACTATCGGGTCTTCCAAGGGCCGGGGCCCCTGGGCTGCAGCATGCTTAGCCCGCACCATAATTCGGCCCTGCTGGTTTGGTAAACTTTGACGACGTTCTAAACGCGTTTTAGTATGCGTTGTATATTTTTGTGAAAAAAAATATACTATGGTTATATTTTGTTGAAGTTTATGATATGTGTCTATATAAAATATATTTATGAATACCAGGGGCCCTCGTAAGTACCCTTGTTGAGCTTATTACTTATTTTCTCCGTGATGCTCCTGCAAAGGGACATAAACTATGGAAATCACATGGAGTTAGAGTAGTCCGATTGATTTACCGGTGCAAATAGTAAAAAAAAAGGATGTTTCCGTATATTTTTTCAAAAGATGCCAGCGTTGGCATCTTTTGGTCACCAGCCTTTCAAAGGCCTTCAGACTCATGCCCTTTAAAACATCTGCGAACAAACACATGCAGAGTGGCACGTGCAGAGTCGGGGTCGCGAGCTCATTCGCCAACCGCTCAAACTTCCCTCAAATAAATGCCATCTGAAAGGCCTGCAAAGCAGGATGTAATAGTCTCTTAGCTCATGAACATGCAAGGAACAGAATTCCAGCGTCTGAAACACTTACGCCGCCGCTTCTCCAACCATCGCACGATCGCCCTGTGTCGTGTGGACGGACAGGGAGTTTAATCGGCGGAGGCAATTCCGCCGATGGAACTCCCCCCCCCCCGCCTTTAGCTTTCGGGATATTCACATGATTATAAAAGTAAAGGTGACAAACACGCTTAGAAAAGGTGCGGAAGCACGTCGGTATCGGCCTAACCCAGCGTCTTGTACACCGGGTAAACGAGGTCCCGCTCCTCGAAGTGCTTGCGGCAAACAAAAGCCGACGTTGACGGTGCCTTTCCCATCCTTAGTTTGATTGTCCATGCTCTCTTTAACATCGATCTCCTCGGGTGATGAACGTTGATACAGGCTTTTTTCGGGATTGCATTGCGGCACTAAACAGCAGGTCAGCATGATCACAAACCAGAAAAAGGGTGTAAGGAAGCGAGCCGGATGCGAGATCGCAGAGCTGAGTCCTTCCCCTGACGTTACGCTACACCTCACCTAATCAGGGCGCGGCAACCGCAGCCACACTTCTGTGTGCTCTCGGGGCTAATGGCTGACGGCCTTAAAAACAAAATTCAATGCACTGTTATGAGAGAGTAAGCCCCCCTCCCCAACCCCGCCCTTTCCCTCCCCTTTCTTGTTTTGCGGCACTTCCCTCGCTCCGTTCTGCCGCTCCCAGGTGTCGCCCCTTTTCCGCCAAAAATTTCGATATCCACTTCTTGACCCCCTCGTCTCCCTTTCCCCTTCGCGGCCGTAAACTTGAGGTACACTGCCTGGAGAAAATAAATATGCGTGTTCTAAAAGTTGGAGGTGTGCTGTCCATATTCTGTCCGTTATGCGTAATTCTTCCGTAAAATTTTATCAATTATTTCTTAGTTAACATCTAACGACTTTTGAACGCAGAATTTTAATCAAGGTCTTATTGGTCGGTGTTTTCTACCGGCAAGCTCTTATATTCACACTATGAAAGCTGAAACAGATTAAGAGAGAACTATGAGGTAATCGAAAAACCGAGTATCATTTGTGACTGACATGCGGAAGGGCTGATATTCCCTTCATTTTAAAGGCCAATCAACGAATTCATAACTCCGAAAAGCTCCAAAGGTGGTATTTAGTAGCATCATGCAACTAAAACCTAATCAATGACTATCAACGCAGGCCCCTAGCCAGGAATTTTTTTCGGGGGGGGGGGGGGGGGGGGGGGGGGGAAGCTGGGGGGAGTGGCCGGGGCCTACTTTCTGAAGGCCATGAATATTTGAGCACTGTTCTGAATTTTCAGTAATTATTTTTGGTAAACATGTTCCTGCTTACATTTTGTCAGTTTTTATTTTTTTTTAAAGGCCGATTGGTCTCATTATATTTGACAAAGACACAAAAATTCGTTAATCTCAGGTAAAAACTAAGAATATAAGTATGTGACATATTATAGTTTATATGTAGTAGAAAGCCCAATATGGCAAGCAGAAGACAAGCTGCGTCTCTATACAGTTTGTTTCGTTCCATGTTTTTGTATCTGAGCGAAACATAGCGTTTACACAAGGACCTCCAAGTGGATCTCCTGATCTGCCTTCACAGAAGTTAGATATGTTAAAGGTGACGTCGTCAAAGAATGGACGGCTTACCGAGCAATAGGTCCACGCTCTGGTAGAGAGTCTTGTCAATGAAGAGTGACAAAGCATGGATGACCAATCAAACTCTATACTTTACTTAGCGCGAAAACATAAAGAGTCAACAAAAACATACTCCAATATACAAGTGCAAAACGCGACGCGGCATTCCTTAGAATAAAGTAAATACTTAGAGAAACAGTTGTTCACAAACTTAAGACAGAAATGTCATACCATTATAAACAATAGGACAAATTAAAGGAGTACGGAAACGAAATTTTAGGGCTCGGTTTATTGCTTCTGTATATACCATATTATATCAGCACATGAGGAACATCAGTATTTTGTTTGGAAACGCAAGAAAAGTAATTTTAAAACAAATAAAATGGCTTCCCACTTGCACCTTGTAATTGGAGGGTCGACGCTTCGTTCGGGGATCGTCACGTATTGTTCTTTCCTCAGTGGCGCCACCCTCGGCAGTTCAAAGCACTCATATAGAGACCCTAGCCGAGTACGCAATGTCGAAATCGCGCTGCATCCGCGGATCACGATTGTTTTAGTACCGCCGAGTTGTTTTTGTGTTTATTCATCACGTTTTCATAAAGGATGCCACACAATTGCGCGGCAGAAGGTCGCGGCAACAGCGTGGCGCACTGCGACACGCCGACACAAGGGTTTCCGAACAATGAGAAATTCCGAAGCGTGTGGGTACGCCTCGCGCGTCGGCCGTCCTTCGGGCGCCGGTGAAAAGCGATCACCTCTATGGTGACCATTTTCGCGATGAGGACCATGAAAGGCTATCCACTTTGCTCGAGAGTCTGGGTCTTCCTGCCAAGAATATTCGGTGGCTACCAGAGGTTGTGCCGACTGTTTTTTTTTCCAAGAATAGAAAAGCAGAAGAGCTCAGCAAACCGCACGAAAAGCGGAGAAAACTAGTAAGTGAGCACGTCGTTAATAAATCACTAATAGAGGGTACCTCCAAGTTGCCAAATTATTTTTAAATGCAAGGCCTTTCTTGGCAACTCCGGCCCCTTCGAAGTTTTTCGAACGGATGGTCGGTCGGTCGGTTGGTTCGTACAGTTCTAGCCCTAATCGCATGTCCGTTACCGTGATTGAGAGTGACTACTCGTCCTCGCTGACATCTTCCAAGTCCCATTGGAAGTCGATGTCATTGTTATCTCGAGCTAGTAGCTCATGGCGGAACGCACAGCGGACTACAAGGGAATAAATGTATACGTCACGACGGTCGTCGTACAGCTGTGAAGTCCTCCGCCATTCCGAAACGCGAGACTGTCACAAGCAAGAGCCACCAACTGGCGGCGCTCATAATTACGTTAGCCTTTGGCTGTATTGAGGAGCCTGACGTTATGATTACGACGGAGTTTCCATGACGTATCCCACGCCTCGATGGCCGTGTTCGAAGCGCTCGCTAGAATCGGACGCTTCAAACAAAAAATATAGCCATCCGCTCAAAATACGAACGTGCGATTCTTATTTATGATTATCCTTGGTCATATTTTACCTATTTCAGAAATGTTTCCGTATATTCTGATTTTCGTTTTGGTACCCCAATAGAAGTGTAGGCCTGTGCTAAATAAGTATCATCTGGCTTGTCGGGCCGGCGTCTCCGCTGTGCAGCTCGTCCGAAGTGCGGGAGTCTCAGGTCGTGCCTGAGGATCTCTATAGGCAGGGGGACGGGAGTCAACGGGCTGTTCAGGAGACGATTGTAATCTGCCAAATTACGCAATGGAGCACGTCGTTGAGTTTGTCACCCTGCTTCTTGTCTGCCTGTTCCGGACTTTGTTCTAGTGATCTCCCAGACGCCAGCAATCTGACAATGATAACAAAAAAGGACCCGGGCTTGAGAGGGAGACATGCCCTGAAGAAAGCATGGTGAGAAAAAGGAGAAAAGCTAATTTAGGGTTAAAAGGACATCAGTCAAGCCGCCGCGGCACCAAGTTCTTTCTGATAAAATGAAAGGATGAGCCTATGAACTGCGGGCTAGTCAAAATTCGAAAAGCTTCTATAATCTCCCTCCCGATGCGTTCACAAAAATTTACCAGCGTTGTCGTGGCGGCAAAGCCGGGAGTGCAGCCGCGGCCTTATCAAGATAAGTTTTATTCTCCTTTTCTCTTAACACTACTTTGTTTGGTGATTCACAATTCATAATTAAAGAATGGCCCAAAGCAGGCTATTGGGTATACACAGGACGGCTTAAGAAAATCTATCCAGGAGCTTTAGGTTGTTGTAATCCGTTCTACTGTCGTCGAGGGTTCTATTTCAGAACTGTGTTGCAGGCTTGTGCTCATATGTCTGTTTCAGAGGCAAATACCGTATCAAGGGAGCAAGTAATAACGCTGGGCGTACGATTTGTGTGTGACACTTGGTTTGTGAAGTCACGGCAAGACAAACATCACACGACAGCTCTTCAGGACTACTTACAAATGTTTCTGAATGATGTGAGTCTCGACTATCTCTATCTTCCTGTGTTCTTATTAAATGCGATAGCTACTCACTTTTTACTTCGTAGTTTATTTATGTTCTTATTAAATGCGATAGATACTCACTTTTTCCCACTTAGATGATTTGTAACGCACGAACTAAGTCAAATTCGGGCTTTTATGTGCCAAACCAAGGACAGGCATCTGGCACGCACCCGCGGAGGACTGAGGATTATTTTAGACCACCTGGGGAGTTTTCACGAGCAACCAAAAGAACTGTTACGCGGCGCCTTATCCGCAATAAGCCTCCGCCATAGCGCGATCACCTAGGTCAAGATTTGAACCCGCCACATGAGGATCTGTAGGCGGCGCTTCGCTTCGGAGCCACGGAGGCGGCTAAGCGCACCAAGCCATAGCCTCCTCTATACTGACAAAGCCTGGCAGATCGCCACGAGACGTGGCCGCCGAAAGTGAAAATGGAAGAGTGGCAGACAAGAGGCATGTAACGGGCGCCCCGCTGCGGCGAGACGCCGGAACACGCTTGTCCTGAGCGATAAAATGTCTTATCGTGCTTCTCGCGTTCTTCAGGCTGCCGCTTGTTTTCTCGTTGGCTTTGAAAACCATGCTTCGGGTCCTCGCCACTGCAAAAGCTGCGCGCTGAATCCGAGAAATGACCTCAGCTACCAGATCATCGCGCTCCAAATCTGCGACCGGGCACTCTATGGCTCCGTCATCGAACTATACCAGGCTTTGTGAGTATAGAGGAGGCTATGACCAAGCAGATGGCACGAATCTTTTCTAGTGTATACCTACGTCAATTATGTATATATGAGGAAATTCACCCAATGAATGTGATAGGATATATTGTATTTTTGGAGCACAAAAAACCTATTTTTGGTCAATAAATATATTGGCTTCTTTATGAAGAATACAATTATAAATGGTATTGTGATACTTATATATCTATTATGATTATAGTGTATGAGCCCCTGGATTCCTTCTCCCAAGCAGGCATAAGCCGCAGACTCGACGGCCGGTGTCGTCCGGCTTCTAGTGCTCGCGTTCCGCCTTGATGGCCTACTTTCCCTCGCGCTCCTACTCGCGTGTGCTTTCTTGTGATGGCGGTAAAAATTGAGAATTTGACAATTTTATACGTGCTCCGTGTCGTACGTGTCGCTGTCTTTCCCGTTTCGAGGGACACAGTGGCAGTGACACAAGGAAGGGGACCGTAAGAAAGCGCTAACCCTTTTTTGTACAAAATAAATATCGCAAGGGTAACTCCAATCACGAGTGAAGGCTGCCAATACGGCCAGGATTAAAATATTATCAAAATAATCAAAAGGGTTCGTTGACGGACCGCTTTAAGCGCTAACGAACCTCCCCTTCTGTAGATTTTAGTTTCCGTTGCTGTTTCATCTTCGAACAGCCGAATGGACATCGACTACGTTGAGGTGTGCGGGAATGGGCCTCCGGAGGGTAACGACAAGTTCTCCGAATGTAACATTACCAATCTTATGTACTGTTAATATTAAAAAGCTTAAGACATACGTTGACGAAGAGCATTAAAAACGTCGACTGCCCGTGCACCTACGCTCCACTACGTCGATGTTTTTTTCCGACTACCTACCACCCGTACTCAGCCGATGAATATCGCAATCACCTCGCTGCACTAAAGCACCGCTACGCCGAATGGTGAACCATGTCAGTCCTCGTTGCATTCGCGAGCTTTGATTCTCACGAGGATGCCTTTTTCGTGGAACCCCTCTGGCAGAAGTGTTAAACCGAATTTGACAACATAGTGCTGGCATGCAGCGTTAGAGACCCAGCACGTTGGAGAGTTGTGCTACTGCACTATACCGGCAAGTAACTGTGTGACATAAGTATACGAAACGCTAACAGCGGCGACGGAATCGGTCGTCTTTACCAGTAACACGATCTCGAATGTCTTTAAACTCGGGGTTGAGAAGCTGTCCAAGAACCTTGATGCAAAGGCAAACCGAATGCCAGCGCTCTTTGTTTCGACAGAAACGTCAACTCCCCAATGAAGGCATTGATACCTGTAACACGATGATACAACACATCTCCATGCTATGCGGAATCACAGACCTGGAGGCGGAACTCAAATCGCATCTCACCCAAACTTGCTGCTCAGCAACGTTAAGGCGCAAGTCACTCCACAAAACGAACATGACACTGACGGAGTTACTCGAACATTCGAGGCATCACGGATATGGCATACCGGCAAGCGAAAAGTATGAAGAGCGCCCAGCTTGCATGGAAAATGTCGCACTTCGTGTGCAAAAAAATAGGTAAAGGGAAAAGACTGGTTATCTCAGCAACAACAATACCGCACGTGTGTACATTGTGGCGGCACCTAACCATATTGACCAGAAGTTTACCCGGCAACGGGACATACCTGCAGGATCTGTGTTAAGGCAAATTTGCACAAGTCTGCAGTTCGTCGGGACGATCAGAACGAGGACGGTAACTATATAAAACCAAAACCCTAACAAAAGTGGTCTCTCCATACTTCATCTCCAAGACCATCGACCGGCACAAAAAGTTGCCACAAGCATTCATAACCTCTATCTCGTATGGAACTGCGAAGCCAATGATCGATTCTGGTGAAACTGTCAACATGTGTGAGCACACTTTCAACACGCTCACCAGGAAGCCTTCTCGGCACACTTTCACAAGTCGGTCCTTATGAATCCTGCAAACCTTTGCACATTGTTTGTGACTTTGTGAATTTCTGGGTGAGCAATGCTACGACAGCCAATGGTGCAAAACGGTTGTACGCGTCGTCAAAGGCGACAGCCATCCACTACGACGCTAGTAATGTCGCGACTCAGCCACAGCACTGGTTTTATTACCTTTTGCATAATCGGTGTGTACTGCTGACACACTCCAAGAATATCCTGAGCACACCAACGGGATATATGCAAGTTCAAAGTGGTGTTATGTTCCTCCACATTAGCTCGCCTCCGGTATGCCAGAAACGCCGCCATAGATTGTTGGATCAGAAACTGAAGAAGGAAGCTGAACCTCAAGCCCTACATCGTGGATTTTATTGAATCGGTAAACGGTCCTGCCCTATGGGTCTCCGCAATAGTGCTTATTCCAAAGTCAGCAGAAGAAAATCAAGTTCGATATGTTTTGGCCACTTTTCTACATACGTAAAAACGTGGCCATAGAGACAACATCTAGCACTGACACTGAAAGGCGTGGCTGCTCAGCTAACACCTTCAAGGGTGTTTTTAAAGGTTGACCTACGACACGGCTACACCAGTTGGATATGTATCAGAAATTTCGCACAATCACCACCTTCACAACACCATCTGGCCTGTTCAGGGGAAACGTCTCTTTTCTGGAATTTGCTTAGCTGCTGAGGTATTCCAATGAGCAATCTAAACGGAGAAATTCCAACGAGCAAACTTAAATGTCATTGCAGACATAGCGGGAACAGTCAACATCACTGAAAACATCCTTGTCTACGGCTGCACAAGACAAGAACATGAAAAGTTCCTTGGTGCAAACCTGGAGCTATTATAGCGAACCGACTTCGAAGTGAACAGAGCCAAGTGTTTTTCTATCAACCCATGCTAGAGTTATTTGGCTTCATCTTTGAAAGGGAAGGACGCAAGGTTTGTCCCGATAAAGCGGCAGTCATTCAGAAGGGACCGACCTCAGAGCCTGTTAATAAATATGTTATCGTGGGTTTGCTACATATTGTTCTTCTTTCGTATCATACTTTGTCACTTTCTCCGCAGCACTTTGAAAGAAGTTTCGAAAGGCGCAGCCTGGCTATGGAATCGAGAGCAGAAAGACGCCTTCACCCAAATCAAGGAAGCAGTCAAAATGCGTTGCCTCTTGCACACTTCAACCCAGAGGCACAAACAACATTGATTTTTAACGCCAGCCCTGTTCCACTGGGTGCAATGCTCACCCAATATGGACATAACGACCCTCATCTAAGACCATTTCTGTACGCCAGACACTTGCTCCCATCAACTCTGCAAATATATGCGCAAAACGAACGAGAGGCACTTGCCATAATCTCTGAAGCAAAGTTTATGTTCATAAAGGTCCATAAATATCTGACGTCCATATTAACAACTAAGGCAACTAACACCCCTAAGAGGATTAAGAGATGGCGACTTTGTGTCTAGCTTTATGATTTTCAGGTGCGCTACAAACGTGGAGATCACAACCCTGCAGACTGCTTTTCTGGACATCATGTTGAGGCGCCCAAAAATCTGCAACGCTCTACTGAACAGTTTGTGTTTTTTCTGCATGGGAACAGCCCGGCTTAAATCACTTTTCCTTCATGAGGTTCGAACAGGTGCAGACAAGCTCAAACACTGCCATCGATGAAGCCATCGACAAACATGCCTGGCATTGGCTGGAAAACGGCTTCGCCTGCCGCAGGGATACCGAAGATCTTCGGTATCTCTGGGGTATCCCTGGGGTCTCTGTTCAAAACGATTACTCGCAGGTGACGTTAAGTAGACAAAAAATGCTTTGGGAAAGCACAAGTACAGAAAGAAACAACGGTTCCCGAGTTAAACTTTTCGACGACAAAATTCAAATCGATAACGACTTGTTCGTATGGGATTACAACACCACCAGCCGAACAAACCTGAGAGATAAGGTACAAAGCCCGAATAAACGACAATTGCGGGATACAAAAACAAAACCGCTCAGACTTATCAATAGGAACGCTAGAAGTCTCGTCAATAAAGTTAGCGAGTTAGAACACATACTAATGCTATATAATCCGCATATTGTCGTTGTCACAGAAACGTGGCTCAACGCAGACATAAAACACAAGGAAATAATACCACCTGCTTACAAGATGATACAAAAAGACCGCCCAACGCGGGGGGGGGGGGGGGGTACTGTAATTCTCAAAAAAATCAATCGTGCGCCTTGTGATGGATGATCTTCCAGATACCGAAAGTGTATGGTGCCAAATTACTTTCTGTGACAAAAAAGTATGTAATAGGAGCGGTCTACAG